CCGTCTTGCAGACAGCTACGCAGTGCGTCGTTAAGACGTAACCACCGCCGTTTCGCTAACTCGCGGTCAACGAAATCCTGTCGAGAACGAGGTTAGGCTTAACCAGTCGTAATCGTTACAGGAGCGGGGGCGGTGAACGTGCCCAAGAGCCGGGGGGGGTAGATCCCTTAAGCACATAAGTAACCTCAAACGAAGACGAGGCTCTTGAGGCCCCTTCACGCACGCCGAGAGTTAACCACGAGGACAAAGTTTTATATCTTCTCACCAAACCCCAAGGAACGCGGGCGCAGGGAAATGGAGAACCATCTGACCATCCTGGAGAGAGGATAATTTTGCGCAACCTGGAAGACCCGTTCGCCACAGGGCTCATAACCCCGACCTGGAAAACCTCTTGCGCCAACCGCAAAAAGGGCCCGCAGTGGAATAAGCTCAAGGACAACGAGCTCCACGGGTACCTCAACTACTGTGCTCACGCGGTGTTGGAGTACATGCGCGCGAGCAAGAAACAAGGAGTAGACGCTCGAACCACGGCCTTGTACCAGTTTGTCTATCAGGCGCTGGCCCGGGTGGGGATAGACTTGCTGGAGCTCTTCTGCCAGCGACGGGAGCAGCGAGAACCAGGTAGCGACCAGACTTCGCCGAGATGGTCCGGTTGCCGAGCCGGCCAGAAACCCATGGACAGCGAAGAGCTGGTCACGGTCGGTCCCAACCCCCCCGACCAAGAACTGAACCGGGGACGCATCGGAAAGTGCGGGGGGGCGTTCAAGATGCCAATTGACCGGTGGGGAGCGCAGGCGGCAGAGACGTACGGCACGGCGCTGATCACGGAGTTCCTCAAGAAGAAGAAGAGGAAGTTGCTGGAGACGCCAGCGTTCGTGACGCGGTACAAGCTGGTCGGCCACAAACCCACGGCCCGAGAAGGAATGGGGGAACTCGCACACCCGCGGTCCAAACCCTTGGGTCGATGCTGCGGCCGGCGCCGACTGCAGCAGCGGCATAACTAGCCGCTGGCGAGGAGAAGCCGTTGCCCAAGTCCAGGAAGAAGCCCGCGGCTAAACCCAAAGAGCCGCAGGCGCCAAAACTTGTGGACAACCCACCAACCCCACCGGTGCGAAGCTCTCCTAGGAAGCGGCAGACGGTCGCGGAGGAAGGGGTTGGGGCCCTGGTCCTTCCTGCGCCGTCCGGTGGCCCTGCTTCCACTCCTGACGTGCTGGCTGGAACGTCACGGGTGGCCGAGGGGCCGCCGGCCGAGATTGCGGGGCCCCGCGCAAGAGGATGAAGAAGAGCGGAAGCGCCGGGGGAAGGGGAATCAAAAGGTGGAGGAGGCTGAGCCGGAGCCGGAGGCGGCCGGAGCCTGAGCTAGAGGGTGCGGGGGCGGCAAAAAGCGAGGAGGCGATCTCGGCGGACGCCCTCCTCCAACTTCGGCAAGAACGGGTCGCAAACGACATGTGGGCCCAACACCCGGATACCCGGATGAGGACGAACTGGAGGACGACAGTTGGCTGCAGAAAGCGTTGGGGTCGGCGCGTTATCCCTTGAGGAACCGGAGGGGGAGAGCAAAAACCCACGGTGCGGTGAAGCAGAAGGTGAGCGCGGCAGCGACGCAGAGGGCGGTGGACCCAGCCGCCTCTGCGAAAAAACATGAAGTCCCGTCGTCCCTGCGAGGGAGCACTCCCAAAGAGAAGGACCGGGGGATCGAGTTGTTCAGCCGGGGGTTGGACCCGATGGGGGACAACCCGGGGTTCGACATCGAAGACAACTAGTACAACCGGGTGTCGGTAGACGTGTCCCCCAGCTGGAAGGCGGTGCTCGAAGGAGAGGGACTGCCCCGCGGAGAATACGACCCGACCCAAGGGGCCCACGCGGTACGTTACTGGTGGATCAACAAGGGGCCCAGCGAGATAGCCCATATGTACGGAGGGCATAGGCTCACCCTAGGGACCCGGGGGCCGTCTGCGCTCACTGCGGGCGGAAGGACTCCCACAAGAGCCATGAGTGCTGAGAGAAGTTCCCGGAAAAGCGCCCAAAGAAGTGGAAGAAAAGGGGTGAGAACGCGCCCAGGCCTGCCGTCAACCCGAAAAGGGGAAAGCCGAAGAACGCGTACGCGGCACTCGACGCTGAGGAGGACTCTGAGGAGGAGGACGACCAGTGGAGCCCCTTCATGGCGTGGTCAGCGACTGTGAGGGGAGCGCCGGCGCATCTGCGGGCCCTGGCGGTAATGGCGGACGAGGGGCCGGAGCTGCGCCCCAGTACGCAGGCGCAGCGCGACACCACCCCAGCCGCGCGCGCGCGTGGCGAGGCTGATCGGCTGGCTGCTCGAGCCAAGGAGGACCGCCTGCGCAAGGGAGGTCCGCCGCCGCCGTTCAAGCCCAAAGGAGAGCGGCCGCCACCGGAACCTGAGACCGAGGGGGAGGAAGAACCTGAGGAAGAGGTGCCGGCAAGAAGAAGGCGGGCTGCGCGGGGGGAAGATTCACAGGAAACCCATGAGGTTCGCCTGCCCCCCGCTTTCCAAGAATATGCCCCAACGGACGCGCGCTACCAGGGGCTCGAAGGCATGGACCTGGTGGGAGTGCGCGAGAAGCTGTTGGAAGACCCGCGGGTGGGACCCATCCCGGGTGAGACTGTGAGGCGTCGGGGAGTGGCAACGGGGGCGCCGGCGCCGGTATACTTCGCCGACGAGGCGGGGCCGTCAGGCACCGCCGGCGACGGAGAGCCAGACGACGCGGCGCAGGCCAAGAAGCTGCAGGAGGCCTATGACATGGCGGCAAAAGCGCAGGAGACGCGGATCGTGTGGGATGAACTGGACCAAACTCTCAACAAGCTGGAGGCTGCGGAGGAGGTGGCGCTTCAAGGCAAGAAGGTGCGGCGGGGGCGCAAGGGACGGGACCTCGAGTTCGACATGAAGCCAGTCCCCAGGGTGAACGTCAAGGTGTTGCCAGACGAGTACGCCCAGATGTTCACCACAGCGGGGGTGGAAGAAGTGCCAGAGGCCACCCTGGCGAGTGACAACGACGACCCCCTCACACCCCCTCCGCCCAGAGCCGAAGCCCGCCAAACCCTTGAAGAGATGTCCATGCCCGAGATCTTCATCTTCGAGGCCTCCGCCCACATAGGCTCCGACCTCATGGACCGCCATATCCCGTACCACGACCCCAAACCGCGCAAACCGAAACCCCAGGCGGAGGAACCGCCGAAGTGTCAAACAATGGAGAAGGTGCGCGCACAGCGCCAAACCCGCGGGCGTGCGGCCGCTGCTCAGAGGACGGGGATCGGGGGCGCAAAGAAGCGGGCGCATCCAGTCAAGCGCAAAGTACGCAAGGGGTCTGAACCGGATGACTCTGACAGCGAGTCGGGGGATTCCATGGACGACTTCATTGTGCGTGGCCCAGAGAGGGAGGACAACTCCTCAGCCAAGAGCTCCTCTGATGAGCCCACGCAGCCGGCCAAGGGGAAGGCCGCAGCGGCGAAGCCCTTGCCGGCAGAAGAGGAGATGGAGAGGGGGCTGGACTACCTGGCGCTTGGTCCACCGCTGCCGGCAAATGCGGACGAGCCCCCAAACCAAGGGAAGGAGGCAGCGGACGCACCGGCAGAGGGGACGCCACCACCGGCAGACGCAGATGCGGCCCCAGACCAAGAAATGGAGGATGCGGACATGCTGGCAGGAGGGCCACCACCGCCGGCAGAAGAAGAAGCGGGGCGAGACGAAGAAATGGGCGCCGCGGATCAGCCGGCAGGGGGGGGAGCGTCGGGAGGAGACCCAGGAGAAAACCCCCCTGATCCAGAGGAAAAGGAACCGCCGCCAGAAAAAGAGGCGACGCCCATGGAAGAAGAAGAGAAGGAAAAAGGAAAAAGGGAGGAGGAGGTAGCCGAGGGGCCTGAGCGGGCAGAAGCAGAGGTGCAAGGGGAGCCGGCGCCAGTGCCGGCAGAGCAGAACAGGGGCGGTGAAGGTGCCCGAGAGCCGGGGGGGATAGATCCCTCAAGCACATAAGTAACTTCGTCCGAGGAGGAGGCTCTTGTGGCCCCTTCACCCACGGCAACGGAGTTAACCAGGAAGACGGATTTTTGGATCTTCTCGCCAAACCCCAGGGAACGCGGGCGCGGGGAAATGGAGAACCATCTGACCGTCCTGGAGAGAGGCTTTCTGGGCAACCCGGAGGACCCGTTCGCCCAGGTGCTCATAACCCCGAGCTGGAGAACCTCTCGCACCGATCGCAAGAAGAGCCCGCAGTGGAACGAGCTCAAAGACAACGAGCTGCACGGGTACCTCAACTACTGGGCTCACGCGGTGCTGGAGTACAAGCGCGCGATCAAGAAGGAAGGGGCATACGCGCGGACCACGGTCTGGTATGATTTTGTCTACCAGGCGCTGGCGCGAGTGGGGACAGACCTGCTAGAGCTCTTCCGCCAGCGACGGGAGCAGCGGGAACCCCAGCGACCAGACTTCGCCGAGATGGTCCGGTTGCCAGGCCGGATGTCCAAGAAACCCATGGACAGCGAAGAGCTGGTCACGGTCGGCCCCAACCCTGACCAAGAACAGAACCGGGGACGCAGCGAGAAGTGCGGGGAGGCGGTCGAAGTGCCAATTGACCAGTGGCGGGCGCAAGCGGCGGAGACGTACGGCACGGCGCTTATCAGGGGGTTCCTCAAGAAGAAGAAGAGGAAGCTGCCAGAACCGCCGGCGTTCGCGACGCGGTACAAGCTGGTCGACCAGTGGCGGGCGCAAGCGGCGGAGACGTACGGCACGGCGCTTATCAGGGGGTTCCTCAAGAAGAAGAAGAGGAAGCTGCCAGAACCGCCGGCGTTCGCGACGCGGTACAAGCTGGTCGGCCCCAAGCCCACGCCCTCAGAAGGAATGGGGGAACTCGCACCCCCGCGGTCCAAACCCCTTGGGTCGATGCTGCAGCCGGCGCCGACTGCAGCAGCGGCAGAACTAGCCGCCGGCGAGGAGAAGCCGTCACCCAAGTCCAGGAGGAAGCCCGCGGCGAAACCCAAAGTGCCGCCGGCGCCCAAACCTGAGGTGAACCCACCAACCCCCCGGTGCGAAGCTCTCCTAGGAAGCGGCAGGCGGTCGTGGAGGAAGGGGTTGAGCCCCTGGTCCTGCCCGCGCCGCCCGATGGCCCTGCTTCCACCCCTAACGTGCTGGCTGAGGCGTCACGGGAGGCGGAGGGGCCGCCGGCAGAGGTTGCGGCCGCGCAAGAGGATGAAGAGGAGCGGAAGCGCCGGCGGAAGGGGAAACAGAAGGTGGAAGAGGCTGTGCCGGAGCCTGAACCGGAGCGGGAACCTGAGCCGGAAGCCAGGGGGGCAGAGCAAACCGAGGAGGAGATCTCGGCAGGCGCCCTGCTCCAACTTTGGCAAGAACAGGCCGCAAACGACCCGTGGGCCGAAGTCCCGGATGAGGATGAGCGCGGGGACGACAGCTGGATGAAAGAGGCGCTGGGGTTGGCGCGCTACCCCCTGAGAAACCGGCGAGGGAGGGCAGCAACCCAGAAGCCGGCGCAACAAGCGGAACCAGAGGACGAAAACCCAGGTGGAGACGAGGCCGGCGAGGACAAGGGGTGAGGCAGAACGGGAAGGTCGAGCAGAAACCCCGCCAGCGCAGCCTAAGGAACAGGAGCCGGCGCGTGGGGAGGCCGGGCCGAGGTATGCATGAAGCGTGCCGCCGCCGCCGCCACCGCCGCCAGAGCCGGCGCGGCCTAAGCGCAGGCTCACAATCGCGATGATGATTCATGAGAGCCTGGAAGCGGCGAAGCACCGGCGGCGCAGCAACATGAAGGAGGATCTACTGAAGGACCAGTAGGCGTATATTGAGGCGCACTGGCCGGGCAGCACCAGCCTCGAATGGGGGATGGACGAAGCCCCGGGCCCCTACCCACCGGAATGTGAGCAGAACCCGTTTTTCTCCCACCCCGAACCCCATACCAGCTCCTTCCGATACCCACCCCAGGGGTATGAACCGCCGGCAGAGTGGGTGGAGTACTTCCCGCCCCGCCGCAGACCCAGGGTGGAACCGCCGCCACCTTCTCCACCGGCGCAAATGGCAACAGCGCTCGAGGGGGCCGCGTCCTACCTCGAAATGGTAGAGCCATCGGCGCGCGCCCTGTTGGCGCAAAGAATGAGAGACTTACCGGCGTTCCGTGGGGACCGGCGGCTGGAGAGAGTAAAGGCGCCGGTGATCCGGACAGAGGAGCGCAGGGTGTGGGTGAACGGCAAGCCGCTGACGGGAACAGCCATCCTCGACACCGGTGCGATGCCGTTGTTGATCGGGAAGAAGGGGATGAAGCAGCTCGGCTGGGGCAAAGACAACATCATCCCTGACGCCGTGACGCTAGGGCTGGCGGACGGGAAGTCCTCCAAGCCCTTACCCCTCACCCAAGAGCCGGTAGAGTTTGTTTTCAACAAGGGGACGGCAGCGGAGACCTCAATTCGGGCGCGCACAGTCGTGACGCAGGCGCCGTACGACTTCCTTGTGGGCAACGTGGTGCTCTGGTCGATGGGGATGGTGATCGACGCGTGGCGGGAGCAGGTGCGGTACCGAGTGGGGTGGCGCCAGGGCAGAGAGCACGCGGGCGAGGCAGAGGGCTATTTCCCGGTGGACTACGAGCGCGACGTGGGCCTGGGCACGCTCCCACGGGCTTTCCTGGCTGACGGCAGTTGGAACCTCCCGCCCGGGGGGGGAGACGCGGACAGTTGGGAGCTAGGGACGGGGCTGTGGCCGGTCATGGACGAGGAGGGGCCGCCGAGCAGACGCAAGCGACAGCGAGAGCGAGGGCGATGAGGAGGAGAAGATGCCGATGCTGCTCGGCCTGGTTGAAATTTCGGATGATCAGAGCGCAACGCAAGAGCCCGAACCGTGAGGAGCCGGAGAAGAGGCGCCGGCGGGGGAAGGCAGAGCGTTGGGACCGGCGGGAGGGCCAATTGCGGACGGGGACGAGGCCCTAGGAG